CATTGCCAGCGGAATGCGATGTGCAGGGCGAACTACAGGCTGCACGCTTGGGTCTACTGTCATGGAATAAGTGATTGGGAGTTCTCCAAGTTCATCCCTGAACAAGTCGTTGTATTCATTGAGGATTTGTTCAGTACAGCTCTCCATACTGACCAGGTGAACATGTGGGCTCATCGTGACAATCCCCATATCCAAACACGCACGAAATCCAAGCAGCAGTTGGACGTCTTGATCCACCAAGAAAAATGGGAGTAAGTGGCTTTGTCTTTTTAAACTGCACAACAGTGTGACTAAACCTTTTGTTTTAATTCTACCCCCACCATAAGCTACAAGGTTGGGTGTGCTATCTTTCTTCACTGGTTGTTCATCTTTTGCTATTCTCTCGAAAGTTGTTTGCGACATGACATTGCACTTTGCCCCTGTGTCGACTTTCACCTCAATTGGAGCTTTGTTTATGTGCAGAGTGACAAATCCCTCTTCATGCTCAGCCATGGAAGAGTTAACTGTGTCAACACACCTATCGAATTCAATGCCATCAACATAGAAAGTGTCATCATACACAGAGGGGTTATCCATTTCAAGTTCATGTACTGTCTTTTTGTAGTTTGTTTTCGTCGGGCCATACTGACTACGTGATCTGCAACATTTTATAAAATGATTCATTTTCTTGCAGTTGTGACACAGTTGTCCGAAAGCTGGGCATTTTTCTTTCTTTGCCACATGATTATTTCCACAATTTCTGCAATTAGTAATGGTGGGTGAATCATTCTGTTCTGTTTTGGACTTTTGTCTTGCGTATTGGCGCCTCTTGCTGGAAACTGGATGTACTGCATCCACGTTAGAGGGCGCCTGCGGCACATCCAGAGTTTTATTGTTTTCTTCAGTCATTTCGTGTATGCGACAAATTGAGACAGCTTTAATCAGAGATTGGTCGCAGTCTCTTAACAGTGCTTTCCTTAAGCTTTCACTGTTGATGCCGCATACAATCCGGTCACAGATTAGCTCGTCTGTCAACTCACCGAAATGGCATGCTTTTGCTTTAATCCTGAGATCACTGATAAATGACTCGATAGATTCACCTTGCTTCTGGTTTCTGGAATGAAACTTGTGTCTCTCCATGGTTTTATTTTGCTGTGGGTTACAAACTTCGCGAAATTTCCGTTTCAGGCATTCGGGATCCTCTCTTGTTTCAGCGGGAGTTAATATAGCGGCATCCCCGCCCGGTGCACGCACCTCCGCTGCGTAGACAAACGAGCGCTCTCGTTCTATGGCCTCCGGTCCTGCGAGATTGAGGAGGATATAGGCCCTTGTCTTGGCAGATTTATCATGGTGCGCCGCCGCGATGAAAATGTCATACTCCTGCTCGAAGATTCGCCAGTTATTGGTAACATTCCCCTCGAAAGAGAGCGGATCTGGTCTCCGAAAACAATCCGCCATAGTCGCTCGCAACGCGGTCCTCAGAAAAACTTTCACGGGCTGTCCCTGCTTTCTACAAAACAGTTCACTCGCAGGCGAAAAGTCCTATCCCTTTTCTGACACCATGTTGTGTATCCCAAGAACTAATACCAAGACCTTGGCATCTGCAGGTGTTTATTAATTCAGCTTGTATCACCAACACAACACTTCACACACCTTGTACGCCGAGCCACCCGTTGCTGCTGCATGTATCCCATAAGGGAGTGTGCCTTCTTAAAGGGGCTCAACACATTTGGAGTGCAACCATATATAATACACAATCCACTTGTATTTTAAACAGATCATTTATCACAACGATCTACAGGGACAGTTAAGTTGGGACAACTTAAAAAGATCAATGCAAATTGTTATGATAATATTTTTAAGTAAACCCAACAAATTATTTTTTAGAGTGTAAAACGCTTAATGTGAAAAAGCTTAATGTGGTTTAATGTGGACAAAAAATCTAAACCTAAATGCCAGGAATATGGACTTTATACTACGTTAAGCGTCCCAGGCAGCACAAGTACGTCTGCGCTACGTCGCTGACACGTGTTTTTAAGGTCGGTATTTTATTAGCTTTTCAGTCGTTTGCACATTGGCACTACGTCGCGCCTCCGTAACAGATCCGTCCAGGCGATGTAATCGCAATGTTTTCTGTCTCAACAGCGATGAAAACGCAACGTCTAGGCGAAACTCCGCGATGATTCCGTGACCCTTTTTATTATCCTACGCGATCATTTCCCAACCCTCTTACTATCCTACTGTCACACCCGGCTCCGTCCAACCCTCATGTATGCCACGCCCCCCTCGTTAACCCGTGTTCTTCCCTGACGGATCTCACCTGTTGCTCGTTTTCCTCAGCTTGTTTAGTGTATTTAGTCCTTGTCATGGTGAGTGATCCCTAGGTTAGTCATTGTATTGTTACGTGTCGTCCCTTCCTGTCTGCCCTGGTCATCATTAAAGTCCCGTTTCCCCGAACCTCCGACTCTGTGATCCTGTTTACCCGCCCGCTCACCGGCGTAGCGTGACACCTACGCGATGATTCCCTGACCCTCTTATTATCCTACGATTGCCAATAATTATTTCGTTTGCTTTAGTGTTGAACACGTATCGATACTAATATATTTTATTTATAATATATATAAAAAATACAAAGGTGTTCGTTAAGAGTTTATTTTAAAAAAAAAACAATAAAAAAAACATGAAATGCACACACAAAATATAAAATGCACACGTTACAAAATTAAAAAAAAAAAAAACAGAAAAATAAGAATACTGAAAGAAAAGAACTATCGGACATGCCTGGTCA